CCAATCAAAACGGAATAGTGGAGACTCGCGGATTTCGTCGCGGATCTTCTCGTAGAGACCTTCACCATCGACTCCATATTTGTCCAGCATTACCAACAAGAACCGGTCCTCCTCTTCTGTATAGACCTTCTTGTTGGTGGTAGACACAGTGTAGTTGATCTTGACCTGTTGGAGTGGTACGCGGTACATTTCCATCTTCTTGCGCAACATTTTGCGTTGGTGGTTCATCTTCCGCAGTTTATCCTCACCCTGCTCGATGACACGGAGGTACTTGGGATAATCTTGGATTTCCGTGTACCGCTCCCAAAATACTTGCGCGTACTCCTCAACTTCTTCCGGCTCTTTGCTGTCTACCTCGGTGGCGATTCCAACGTAGTCAGTGCGGCCAAACTTGGCGGAACCGTTCACGAACTGTTGGAAGTCTCTGCGGTTCCAGTTGGAGAAGCCCTCTTCAGACATCTTCGCCTTCTCCGCCTGTTCATCCTCCGTTAGTGGCACTGCATTGTCAATCTCCTGTTGTTCAAGATCACGCTCAGCCTCGCGCTCGCTAAGTTCTTCTTCGGGCCCATCAGGTAGAGGAACCTTGTATCCGATCTCCTTGTGGAAGTAGGCCGTCTCCTTCTCCTGCAGCTCTTGAAGCCCAGGCGGGAAGAACTGCCAATCATGGACGGTGATTTGCTTTGGCGCCCGAGGAACCTTAGGCTTGGGATCAGCCGTTCTACCACCAGTAGCCAAAGCCTGGCGATAGTATTTGTCGATAGAATAGAACTGTTCCTTCCGCTCTCGCTTTGCCGGGTTGATCCAGTTAATACCAATGTCCTTCTTGCGATCAGTGAAGTCTTTGCCGTTCCATTCGTACGCACTTTCGGAACTGAACTTCTGCAAGTCGTCGATACCAAGCTTTTCGTACTTTTTGTTCAATTGCGCAGTCCGCTCCTCGCCTTTCCGCAAAATGTCATCAATATCATCTTCGGATATCTGGTGTTCCGCAGATATGGTGGTGTTGGCTTGAGTGTTGAAGACATTGGCAGCTCCGTGCTGAATCATACCCAGCAATTCTTCCTTAGACGCGGCATTCTTGGTCTGCTGCTGGGCACGTCCCTGTTGGATGACAAGCTGGTCGAGTCGCAGTTTCTGTGCGGCACGTTCTAAGACTTTTTCTTCGATCGCATTCTCTGTAACAAACCTGAATACCACGACCTGTTTCGTCTGTCCGATACGGTGAGCACGGTCCATTGCTTGCAAATCCGCCTGAGGATTCCAGTCACTATCAAAGAGAACGACAATATCCGCCGTCGTCAGATTGATACCCAGACCTCCCGCTCTTGTTGTGAGCAGGAAGATGAACTTCTCCGAGCCCGGCTTGTTGTACTCATCGATAGCAGCAATTCGATCCTCATGGGCCGTTGTACCATCGATGCGGCAGTAGTTGTATTCGCGGAAAACACAGTAGTCTTCGAGGATATCAAGGACACGACTCATCTGGGAGAAGATGAGTACGCGACTTCCCTGCTTCTGCATACGCGCCAGCAACTTGTCAAGGATCGTCATCTTTCCAGCATTGTAAACGAGGTGTTCATCGGTGGTGTAGGGAGGGCCAGGCTCAGCACCTTCAAAAAGGTAGGGATGGTTGCAACATTTGCGAAGTTGCATGACGATATTCAACAAACGGGTCTTTGACTCACGCTTGCCGGCAGCGCCATTGACCGCATCGATATCTTTTTCGAGAATCTTCTGATACCACTTGACCTGCATTTCCGACATGGGAACGTATAGATTAACCTCCTTCTTGGGAAGCAAGCTCTTTTCGACGTCACTCTTGACACGGCGAAGCAAGAAAGGTCGCAGAACGCGATGGAGTTGTTGTACGACAGTATCCTGATCGGAGTCTTGCCCGGAGAACCATTGGTCAAATGCTTCCGAATCACCGAAAACATCCGGCAATAAGAAGTTGAGGAGGGCCCAAAGCTCGTGGAGGTTATTCTGAAGTGGGGTGCCGGTGATCAGTAGTCGGTTCCTGGAGTGGAAGACACGGATAATTTGCGCCAGTGAAGACTCCTCGTTCTTGATCCGATGAGCCTCGTCGATGATGATGTACTCCCAAGCGAACTTCTTAAGGTGCGCCTTTTCTCGGAGAATCATCTCGTAACTGGTAATACAAACGTCGAAGTTCTCGTCGAGGAGCTCCTCATTGATCAACTTGTGTCGCTGTTCCTTGTCACCCTGGAGAACAAGCACATTGACCTCGGGTGTCCATTTTCCAAACTCCCGCTTCCAGTTATCGAGGGTAGATTTCGGAACAGCGATGAGGTGCGGGCCGGTGATCTCGCATACATGTCGGAGGTAGCCTAGGAAAGAAATGGTCTGCAGAGTCTTGCCCAAACCCATCTCATCCGCCAAAATACCCGAAATACCGTTCTCATGCAGCGAAACAAGCCAGTTCAATCCCGCAATTTGGTAATCGCGCATCTCTCCCTTGATGAAGGGCGGGGATTCCCGAAAGACCGTGTTGGTTTCGCCGCCAGTTCTTTCATCCTTCAACAGCTCGGCGTCTTCCTCTTGCTCTGTTCTGCGACGCCTATCACCGCCTGCACCACCTGAGCGCGACGAACCCTTCTTCTTGGCCTTTGCCTCCTCCTCGGCATTTTGCCGGTCAATTTCGGCCATGATCTCCTTGATCCGCGGATTAGGGTTGGTTTCGATGAAATGACGGAATAGATCGGTTAGACCGAGGAGGTAGCGAAATCGTCGGATAGAGTCATCTTCCTATGGTAGCACGCACCGTAAGCGACAGAATAATGATGCACGACCATTGCATTGGCGTACCTTTGATTCATCCAAACGACCATGCTTCTTGCCCAAAATACTTTTTCTCATGTGAAAAGCTTCGGACCTCCGTCTCCGGCCATCCAAAGGCGCTGCGTCGCCTGCAACACTGCTCGCCGTGGTATTGGGATTCGTATCCGAGTCCTAATTCGTGTTAGTCGGATCGTACGTTAATGAGATCGCTGAGTTAGTCGAGTCGCGTTTACCGTGTAGTCTGGAGTGTCCTGGTAGCCCTACATGAGGAAGATTGTCAGCAGGAGCGCTTTGCCAATCAACCAAGGACGCGCATCAAGATAGTGCATGGCGCAAAGAGGGGGTTTGCGCTAACTCACCGTCATCGGCGCGTCTGCGCTATCCACGGGCACCGACGTGACAGGCTCAGCATTCGCGTCTGTCATGGGGGTATCTGCCTGTGATGGCGAGTCGGGAGTCGGTTCAACTGAGGGAGCCATCACCAACCACAGCGCACCGAGCGCAGCTGTTTGGTACTATACAAAGCGGGACACGAGTTGATAATAAGACAACCCAGGTAGGAAGCTATCGATAAGACCCCTGATAATATGTAAGACCCACTAACTCTCGGAAATATGGCTGTAGAGGATCTGGTGGGAGAAATTGAAGTCGGGGGGGCGCACAAAGGAGGTGCGTAGAGAACAAACAGTGACGGATGATGAAAGGACGAAGAAGCACCGCCAGTCGCGCTCATGGGATGGCAAATGGAATTTCGTCGGAGAAGCGCGGCCAGGGGACGCGCTCATTGGACGGGAGACGCGAGGGCGTAACTGACTCATTTCTGAGTCAGCAGGCGGCGGAAGACCAGTTTCCCCGCTGTGGGTCACGTTACCGGGACAGACGCAAAGAAAGATCAGCTGCGCCAGCGTCCTTTCCGAACGGTCATCGCCAGCCAACGTCCATTGTTTGCCTGCGGATCTTCTCGTTTTCCCTCTATAACGCCCCCTCTTTGGGCCCGTCTCTTTCAGTCCAGACTATCAGTCATATCTGCCTCTTCCTGATCTTTCTGGGGTTTGCCTCGGAGTTTGCCTAACCCCCTGTTTCCCAGAAGCACGGTTCAAGTCACCCCTCCTAGTGACGCCAACGCTAGTATTTATTGTCAAAGTCTCCCAGGCAGACTGCTTCTGCCACCACACCACACACCATGGACTCGATGAGATCCCTAAACACGTCACTGCCGAGCTCGACGCCTCGGCCGCAACCTCCTGAGCAGCTCCTACAGTCGTTCAAGGCTGCTGCTCTCTCCGTCACGAACCTCTACAAGAACGCTGTCTACGAACAGTCGCAAGCCAAGCAAGCTGGATACCAAGAAGCAATTGAGGATCTACTACACTTCCTAGACCGGGAGAACCTCGGCCTTGGGGACGGGGAGGGCTGGAAAGTTCGGCAATGGGCCACGGAACGGAGTGATGGAACTGGTGCCCCTAGCGACGACGATGAGGTTGAGAAACAAACCAGAGGCGCAACGCCGGCTGCAGCCCGCAAGGTACAGCCAGAATCCGAACCGATCCGACAGCCTTCAAAGTTATCATCGGAGGAGCAAGCTCCAGCGCCGCCGCAGCAACAGCCTCCAGCACCTTCTCCCCCTCATGCCTCTGAAACAAACGACTTCGATCGTCCGACTATCTTTACGTTTACTGCCGGGCCCACCTTTCCGCAATTCCCAGAACAAGACCTGGACATGCAGACCACAGACAGTTCGACTCCGGCGTCTCAAGATGGTGCCCCGGTCAGCGTCTCCGTCCTGCCTCGAAACTCTCGTCAACAGAACCGTCATAATAACTTCACCCGCTCGAACACTCGATCGTCCCCTCTTGAACCATCCGTCGGCATCGGCTCCAAACGAAAGCTGAACGTACCCGATTTCTTCGACTTGTCTGGTCTAGGCAATCGAGACATGTTTGGGGGCGGCAAACGTGGCCGCTTCACCTAGAAAATATGGTATCGACGAATAGACGAGCATATATTCTTACGGTCACGCAGCGTTAGATTGCATTTCTTGTGTTTCTTTCTTTTTGCTGTTCTTTTTTTTTCGGTGCATTAGTAGGAGTATTGCATGTGGCCCTTTGGTGGGCCACGGATCATTTTTCCTAAGTCATCTTCATCTTATCCTTGTGCTCATATTCTCTTTGTTTACATCTTCTCCTTTTCATATCCCCATTTTCTTCGGTCATCATTACTATTAAATATAGAGGTTATCAGACATGGCGATACCCGGTGAGGCGGCTAGTGATATATTAATCGTACGATCCTTTCTATATAATGTTTTGTACATGTTTTGTGAATTGTGAAGCGCTTGACTAAGTTGATGTGCATTCCCGTCAACGAAAGACCCAACGCCTGAGTAGAATATGGTATAAAGTACATAATATACAAAATTTTTCCGGCTTCATCAGTTGAAGGCTCTCCATAATCCCATTCCAACCAGTGTCGCAGAGATGGTGAAGATCCCGAGTTGTCGAGATCCCATCTTATACTTTGTTGCGCTTTGCATGATTGCCTTTTCTTGCATCTTGAGGTTCTTCATTCCTGTGTAGTAGCTGTACACACCGAGGCCGACGAATGCAGCAGATCCTGTAAGTCATCAGATTAGCTATAGTATCATAGTGAACGCCCGGAAACAAAAAGTAGCCTACCAGTAACTCTGCACGCCAGGCAGTCGTCATATGCGTCCTCCGCAAGTGCACGCTTCGCGTCCTTGGGCTGGACATCCAAGGCGCTGTGATTTTGGGTAGAGGGAGACATTGTTCTAGAATCAACGAGAGCCAAGAAAGGTCTTTTAGAGAGCAGTCCAGACGAGTCTCGATCAAGGAGACTAGTTTGTTGCGGCGAGCTGCAGCAATTCAAAGGAAATGCATCAGAAGGCGGGGATCGGCGGCAGAACGAGGGGCTTTTGGACTCCACTAAATGGGGGCCGATAGATCACCGACCATCATTGCTGCACCATGACCACCTCTGCCTACTACGTTACGCCCCCACAGGTCGGGATAGGTTGCCTTCGCCATCATGAGCGGCCAGGTTGATGCGCTCTATATCTATGATGAGCAGAGGCACGCAGTTCCCTCCAATGTTCTGACTACCAGCAGTCACTGACCTGTCCTCTTCCAGCAATCCGATCGTCGAGCAGGTCTATCGCTCCCGTCCGCCCTCCGCATCGGCCATTCTTCCCCTCTATAATGCCTATGCAGCTCCGCGCCCATCACTCATCTACTTTCCAAATACAACTCCGCCGGTGACAGTGTTCTCGGTAGTGCAGTCCAACCTACTGTTTCTGGCGCTGTCCGAGGTTGACACGGAACCGCTGCTTGCCCTGGAATTCATTCATCGGGTTGTTGATGTTCTCGAGGACTTCGTTGGGGCACCTTTGCTTTCCACCAAGATCCAGGCGAATTATGATGTGGTTGCACAGCTTCTGCACGAAATGTGCGATGCGGGGATTGTCTGCAATACAGAGCCCAATGCGCTACAGGAGGTAGTGGAAATGCCAGGGTGGATGGGGAAGCTGTTAGGCGGCGTTGGATTGCCTGGGTGAGTGCCCACCGTTACGGGATGGAGGTCACCATACTATTTACAGTGAACTGACGGCCTTCGTTATGCGCAGATCATCCACACCGATTCTGGGACAACCCAGTGCCATGAAGCAATCAGCCGCCGCGGCGGCCCAAGGACCTGCGATCCCCTGGAGAAAGTCCGGAGTAAGACACACTTCCAACGAGCTATATGTTGATATTATTGAGTCACTTTCCGTGACGATGGCGCCATCAGGACGACTGCTCTCTGCAATGTCTTCCGGTACTATCGCCTTCACCGCCAAAATATCCGGTGTACCCGATCTGCTTCTTTCGTTAACAGCACCCGGTGGTCAGAAAGCCTTGGGACGCAAGCTGGAGCTGCCGGTATTTCACCCATGTGTGCGCTTGGCGCGCTGGCGGGAGCACCCTGGCGAGCTCAGTTTTGTACCACCAGACGGTCGGTTCATTCTTGCCGGATACGAGGTGGACCTCATGCCAACAGATCCTACACTTGATCAACCCCCGAGTCATATGGAGAAGCTTTTCTTGCCGGCTATTGTGGACATCCGTAAATCGCTTGGGCCGACTGGCTCAGACTTCGAGGTCCGCCTTATTCTCAACACAAACTTCCCGGGATACTCATCCTCTAACCGACCTGGGGTCGGGCGTAGCGGATCAGGCACGTCTACACCCTCTTTTCTCGGGGGTGGAGGCGGCAACTCCTCGGCGCCAGTGCTAGAAGAGGTTGTGGTGAGCGTCCCGATCCCGAAGTCGGTCCGGAACATCACAGACATGCAAGCCAGCCGAGGAGAGGCTTTATTCTCACCGGGCAACGGCGTACTAGAATGGCGCGTGCCGACTAAAGATGCCGGCACAATCTCCGGAACGGCGACACTCCGGTGCACCGTCGTAGGGCACTACGCGGATGACGAGCTGGACGACGACGTCGAAGAACTCGACGCAGACACCAACCTCCTGCAGGGCTACTACGACGCCAGCACGTCTTACCAGAACCCTGAAGCAGACACGACGAAACGCAAGACTAAGAAAAAGAAGAAGAAGAAGGTTGTCAAGAAATCTTCTTCCCGCGCAGCGGCAGCGGCAGCGGCAGCAGAAGCAGAAGCCTCAGCTTCCTCGCCCGCTGAACACCTTTCCTTGAACCCCGAGGATCCCGAACAACTCGAACATACGCCTACTCCTGAACCCGAACAATCCCAGACGCTAACACCCCCCGTTCAATCATCTTCGCCGCAACCTCCACCGTCACTTCCCCGGTCACAGTCACAGTCGCAGAAACAATCACCCAGCCGAGCTTACTCTGATTCCTCCATCTTCCTTTCGGCGCCCCGTAAAACCAAGACCCAACTAAACGCGACACTTATGCCTAATTCGGCGGCTGTGTCGTTCTCTGTCCGTGGCTGGCTTCCCTCGGGGCTCAAGGTAGAGAGCCTGAACATCGATCCGCGGCGGAGTCGCGGACTAGGCGAGGGAGTGAAACCATATAAGGGAGTGAAATATATCTGTATGAGTCGGAAGGGAGTGGAGCGGAGATGCTAGATACTACATTGCTATACATCTAACAATTGATCTATTGGATAGGACAAACACTTTTAGGATTGCCGAACAATTGATGTAAAAATTCAAAGGAATTACTACTATGCAGTTTCAGCATCACACATATTTACATTCTCATTACAATAGGAAAATCACTCTCAGTCTCCCAAAAGTATATACATCGACAATCCCCCCCCCCTCCGATCTAAACATAAGCATAACAAAACAGCCCCTTCGTCGTACTCATCAACTCCTTCATCCTCCTGGGCACTCCGTTCGCATACCCCAAATCCACAACTGTCTGCAAGGTAGTATTCTTACTAGCCGGCTCATTCAAGAACGTCCCCGTCCCGGAGATCGCATACTCCCTACTCTTCAGATCCAAATTCTGCCAAATCCACCAGACCCGATCAATCATACCATGGTGATGCCAGAACGCCGGATCCCCAGGGCTAACATATACATCCCGACCAGGGTCCCCACCCATACTATAGTGCCCGGAACCATGGACACCAATCGACCCACTCCCAGGCACACCCTGCATGGTCATCTCGAAGTCCCAGACATCGTCGTTATCGAGGATAAGCGAGGTGATCTGGGGGTAGGTGTTGTGGCGTTGCAGGAGGGCGGTGGTAAGACTGCGCTTCAGGCAGCGGGGGTTGTAGTTGAGGGGATTGGAGACGGAGGCGGTGCTGCCTCCGGGGAGGGAGAGCGCGGCGGGGCCCATGTTCACGGTGTAGTTCTTGAAGGGCCCGCTGGTTACGCAGCCGCCGCCGGTGCCCGGGGGCAGGACAATGGCGGGGTAGTTGCCTAGGTAGAGGGAGATGTTCCCCTGGTTGGGGATGAAGTAGCCATTGCCGGACATGGAGGTTTCGGAGCCGTCGAATACTTCCGAGGCTTCCATTGTGTGGATGGCGTCATAGCCCCAGTCCCAGTATCTATGGGATTGAGGTTAGTTGGTGAGGTTGGGGGTGAGGGGAATAGGGAGGGACGTACGGGTAGTCGCCTGTATAGTGGCATTCATCGCGGAGGGCTTGTTCGAACTCGTAGATGAAGTAGCGGTGCCATGCGAGGAAGGTTCCCTAAGGTACTTGTTAATGTTCTGAATGAGGGTGGTAGAGAAGTAGCAAGGTGTACCGTGTAGTGGATCTCTAAAGTCTGGTTGATGTGCGTGGCGAGAAAGTCATCATAACGAGTCTTAGCACCTGGAGCCAGATGCGACGGGGTGCGCGAGGGCAGCTCCTGCAGACAGAGCACCGAGTTGATGTAGTCTTCCTTCTCGGGCTTCGAGAACGTCCGCCAGTCACGGCGGATCCGCAGGGTTTCTCGTGTGCAAGCCTCGCTGTCCTCGGAGCTGCTGGGGAGGTTGGCCAGAGTCTGGTCAAGGGCATAGCTCGACAATTGCTCGAGCTTGGCAGCTGCGGCAGCCACGGCAGCGCTGGATGCAGCTGGGCTGCTCAGAGCAGTCTGAGAGGTTGTGGGCACGGCCCAGGCCTGCGAAGCAAGCAGGCCCAGACTGAGAGCCTTGAGAGCAACCATTGGGCTAGCTTGAGGGCAGTGAGAGGCAGGGGCAGAGACAGAACGGGAACGCAGCCTGAGCAGAGGAAGAGGGTCCCCGAACGGGGACGGCCAACACTTTAAGTGTTCATCCCTTGTTTAGATCGCCGAGGTGTTCGTATTTCGCTATGGGCACGAGGCTATCCCATTGATGGAGATCGGATAGTCGGCGAGAAATAGAACGGAGCCCTAATGGGCTAGGATGCTGGCCGAGCAAACATGGAGTTCGAAACAGCTCCAATAACGATGGCAGTCTAAGTAGTTAGGGCGATGCGCTGTCTGCTCTAGACTTGTCTGACAGCTCCACTATCGGTTCCAGACTCCGCTAGAGTTGACCAAAGGAGATGGTCCCGCATGGTGGTGTGTATCATGTTTGCTGAGGTGGGATTGAAAGGCTCTGAGCCATCAAAAGAAGAACGTGGATAGGGGGTGTTTATAGTGAGGATGTCGTATCTGCAGGGTTAACACGGTGTTGAGTTTCCTGGGAGAAGAGAAGATGGAGAAGAGACATGTGAGTATCATACGGTATGGGACGGAACCCGCTAAGCGATGGCGGCTCGCGGGTCCGACTGTCTGACACCAAACCGGTTCCACTCTCTTCCTCTTCCTCGAACAACTAAGGATCCCTCCTCACCGGCTGGATCGGATCCTTCGATTCCTCCCAGCAACCCCCAATGCCCTGAAAGTGGAATTCGCTGCCCTCAGTGGCTTGACCCGCTCATCGATCGATCCCTGAACGATCCCGCCTGTGGTCCAAGTGTGATCCTCCATCCCAGACTTAGACACAGACAATCAGTAAGCATTGCGAGCCAACCTACCCAATGGGTATTGCATACGCCGAATTTCTGTTGTCTCTGAGATGCTCCAAGTCAACATTACTAGTGAGTTTTCCTGCCAGGTTTCATTGTGTGAAACCTCCAGTCCAACTTGCTTGGTGCTTGACTAGGCGAGAGAAATTAATTTATATCTAGATGAACCCTATATCTAGCTTATACGCTAAGTAAATAAGTGCTGTGCCGCCGGAGATTTCCGCCCGCAATGACAGGAATAAACAGATTCAAGTACACGTACTCCTACAGGGGACTCGCCAGGGGTTTCGCGTTCGGCCTGTGTTTAGTGGGTGTGGAACTCCAAGCTGATGCGCGGATGGCACGATGTCAGCTCCACCCACAAACGTTGTTGTGCCGTTCCGAGGTTCTACCTGAGCGTTCGAGGTTCACTCCAAGGACTTGAACCATCTCATTGGTTAGGTTCCTGTTCAGCCGTCCATGATACCGGAAGTACATTCATTTCCCTCGGACATACTGTGAAGATAGTGACCTATTGGAAGCCTCCCCAGCGGGACTAGCTGGGTCCCCTCGCTGAAATTAAGCGAAAATGATCAGATTGTACCTGGCAGAGAAAAGTGGCACAGCTGAACCGACGGGTCGATTGCGGCATGGACAACGAAGCAAATGGAAAACCAGCTTTAGCATCGGAGATCCTCGTAGTGGGATCCTTTACCACCAGAACCCAGAGCAGCACGAAATCCTAGCATCCTAGGCATTTCTCTAGTTCCCTAGCGTTGAACTTTCATCGCGACGCTCCTGAGAATAGGATTCCTAGCAAACGACGGGCAGAACAGGCCGGTAGCTCGTGTGAAAGGCTTTCGCAAGCTCTGATCCTGCGGATCTGGGTGACCCGATGCTATATCGCCCCAGTTACCCCCTCTATCATCCATGGGCTCTCCTGATCGTGCCATGACAAGCATACCCCAGATTGAGTGCGATTATGGCGGCAAATGCTCATTTGGGAGGCGCGGGCTTGCCTGATGTGAGCCAGGCTCCCCAGATCTTGGCAGCTACATCGATCACCACGGCTTTTGCATTACTCACGGTTCTAGCCCGGATGTATGTCCGTGTGTTTTTTATCCGAAATGTCGGCCTCGATGTGAGTATAGGGTAATCTGGAGCCGGAAGCTGGAGACTGACCTACGACTAGGATTATATCATGGTGCTGACAATGGCACTTGTAACCTCCCCTCCCGACGCGCTAGCAGCCTGGAATCTGACATTGACGCCCATAGTCCCTCGCTGGATTTGCTGTGATAATACCAGAGGTTATATATGGTGCAGGAAGACATACGGTTTATGTGGAGAATACGGCCTCGATAGCGACGCACCTGAATTTCGCCACTCAGGGTATCTACATGTGGGCAATCGGGCTCGTCAAAATCTCCATCGGGCTGTTTCTCCTGCGGTTTGCCCCGCGACGGGGTTACAAGATATTCATCTGGGTAGTCATTGGTATGTCGCTTTCAAACATCTGGCTGTCTGCTGGATGTTCATAGAAGATGGAAGCTTTTTCAATCATTCCATCCTGCTCTGTCTTCTCTATTTCATTCTGAGATTAAAATTATGCTAATGGCTTTGACAGTGATCATGCTGCTCTATACAATGATATGCTTCCTTGTCTGTCCCCTCTCATATTCTTGCGAATGTCTTCTAATGATGGCAGACTCTCATGTTTGAGTGCAAGGATATCAGGACAATCTGGGATGAGAATGTTAAATCACAGTGTTTCACATCCACACAGCTCCTAGAATTGAGCTACACCAATACTGGTAGGGAACTTGCATAATCTGTAAGCACATGGACTAATGATCTCTAGGTCTGAACATCCTGACAGATATTATATTTGCCATTCTACCAGCGATAATGCTACGGTACGTTCTCATAAATATACTCCATGATCCCTCCGACTGATAGCCATAGACACCTGCAGGTCAACTGGCGTGTCAAAGCATCGTTAGTCTGCATATTAGGACTGGGGATATTGTAAGCAACCAATACATTCACCCCCATTAACCACACTCTCTAACAAACCGCCAGTGCCTGCGCTGCAGCAATCGTCAAGCTCTCCGTCCTACCCAACTACGGCCGCACCGGCGACCTCCTATGGGATTACTCCACCCTCACAATCTGGGTCGTGTACGCCAACCTCCCTAATTCAAGCCACCCCAACTAATAACACCCACCACAGCGTTGAATCCAACATGGGAATCATAGCAGGCAGTCTACCCACTCTGAAGCCCCTGTTCAAGCAAATCCTGGGTACATATGGATCCCAAAGCAAAACACGACGCTACACATACGGTAGCAAGCAGTATCGACTACAATCAATATCCCCATCCTACCCACAGCCATCCGTCCGCAGTAGACCTCTCAGCGTGCTCGACCCTGACGACTTGGAAGAAGGCGATCCCCGTGCTGCCCAGAGGAACTCCAAGTACGGAACAACAACGACCAAATACCACTACCGCGATGGCAGCCACACCAGCGAGGAATACATACTAACACGTCAGGAATCAGCGGGGATCGTGCTCACGACAGAGGTGGTCGTCACACATACGATGGCGGAAGAGGTAATACGAAATAACCGAGGGAAAAGGACACAGCCACCCAACGAGAAGGCTTAATTGTGCAGTCAGTAGTTATAAGTGACCTTCTACTACTTACCTAACATGGCGTTAAAAGCTTTTACCACTATAAAATAATGATAGATAGACCCAGACGGCATATTGTTTTCCTCTTTCCACTTGCAACAACAACCCTTCATAAACATCCACAACCTGACCATAACTACTATCCCCCAACGAGCCCCGAACACAAACAATCCATAGTACACATCAAGAATATATCCCCGCCCCTACATCCTTGGGCACCTCCACGACCACAGGCCCCATCCTCCCACTCAACGCCACCCAAAACGCTTCCTCAATTCTCTGCGGCAACTCCCTCACATGCTTAACGCCCACATTCCACTTCGTACAAAATCTCGTCATCCCCAACACATCCGCCTCCTGGAACCCGTCCTTCCCAATGGCGCTCGTCGCCACCTGTCCACAGAAAGCAATGAGCGGGGTGCCGTCGCTGAGGGCGTTCTGCAGCGGCGTGATGAGGTTCGTTGCGCCGGGGCCGGAGGTCACGAGGACGATGCCGGGGGTGGGATATGAGGAGATCGAGGCACGCGCGTAGCCTTCGGCCATGTGGCCGGCTGATTGTTCGTGTTTGGGGAGGATGAATGTTAGATGGGGGGAGGCGTAGAGCGCGTCCAGGATGGGGAGGATGGTGCCGCCTGGGTAGCCGACTAGAGAAGGGAGATGGTGGTGATGGTGGTTAGTTGGGTGGATGTATAGTTGGAAAGAGGGAGGGGGAGAGACAGGCTTACAGATGTGTTTGACGTTGTGGAGGCGCATCATTTCGTGGAAGATTTGGCCGCCGGTTTTGCCGATGAAGCTGGTGGTGTGGGTTAGGGGGTTGTATTGATGGAGGAGGTTTGTTTTGGGGGGAATTGTTCGTACAATTCGTGTAGACGGTGGCGGTTGTGGGGTGGTGATTTGGTTGGTGTTGAATGTTGATGAGGTTGTCTTGATGGTGTGGGATGGTCTGTTGGTCTGTTTGTGGGTGGTGGGAATGAGTCAATGTCGCTATGTAAGGGCAATTCCTAACTGATTAGGGAGATCTAATGCATACCTTGAGTTATTCTCTGTAGGAGAAGTATTATCATCATCAACCGGTTGAATCTTCGAGCTGAGTGCCATCCCCATTGCGTGGGTCCTCCTCCATGGTGAAATGGACAGACGAGCCCGTGTAGCTCGGCATATATGGCGGGTTTGGAACATAGTAGTCAAGGACGGATTGTACGCAGGGACAATTCGTTGGTATCGAGCATAGTAATGATGAATTGAAGGTACTGATTGGAATTTAAACCACTATTACTACTACAACCTATAGTTAGGGCGGAGTGAGTCATGCTATAGTTCATCGGCGATTCAAAATCTCACCTCAACCCCTGCGGCAGAGAAGCAACTCTGAGTGCTTATGGAATTAATTTGGACAATATCGGAGCGATATCGGACATTATTGTGCATATTGAATGATCCTGCAGGAATGGTTTGGGTTGGGTTTGGTTGTCTGGTCCATTGGATTTGGCTGTCACTACTTAGTACTATCCTGGGTTATTGGGGTTAAATGATTGTACTCAGGTGGTTAGTCATGTAAAATGGATCCAATGGATGGATATGGTTCTTTCTTTCTCCTTCCATTCATCTTCTGATAATAATAGCTTGTGTGTGTAATTCATTGGTCTTATATATTTCTCTACTGTGCATATATATTATATTTATAGTAACTAGTAGTATATATCATGTGATTCCTTGAGGTCTAGAATGCCTCTTAGAGATTAGATCCTTCGTGTGACTGATCTATGGCATTGACTCACTGTACCATAGTCTCTGCAGTACAGGGATAAACCGAATGCTGGCCTATTCTTAACAAACACAGATAGAAATACAAGACTGTATTAGATACTGTTTTCCCCATTTATTGAATTATACTCTACGTAGGTCTGGGGACAAGTGTCTTAATATAGAGTATTTTGCCTATAACAGGATTCAAACCCGTCGCCTTCATAGTTCAAAGGTTCCTAATCTCCTAATTGATACAAAGGCTTGCCTGATGATGTTCTACTACTAGGCCACCTGCAGGCTAAGCATAGCTTGTCTAACGAAGCTATTTTCCCGACTCCATCTGTATGGGATCTACATTCGACTTCCTAAGCGAGCTAACTCGAAATTACCAAATTGATGAAGATCGACATAAACCACTTACTTTGGTTACATAACTTCACTAATATGTACATGCCTGTCCACCCTACCTCGTCATGTTCGCATACTTTCAGCTAGTTAGATCATCTTATATGTGATGAAACCCACGTCCCAATCGGGGATCAAAGAACAGACCATAAGGAAAAAGAAAAGGAAATGATTAACGAATGGCGCACGGTCATACAGTCATCCAGAAGAAAGACTAACTCCAAAAAGAAGACCGAATCAGGTAAAGATATGCTGGCGCAAATTAGAGCTTCGCCAATCGGCGCTCGAGCACTTGACGTGCGATATAAGCCACTAATCATAGATATGTAAGTATATGTTCGTATATCGTGGGAACATAACGCAGAACATTATATGAAAACATTAAGCGAGATTATCAATAGATATTATGTATAGTGTATATGTAGATTACGTATCCAGGGTATCGGGGTATCCAGTTAACGTGGAAGCGACATGCGGGATAATTCACTCTCGGTCTGAAGGGGAGGCGGAGGTAAGAAGTCTGGCATATCTAACAAACGATACGCAGTAGATGAAAGGGGGAGTTGGTTGTAGCAGAAAACGACGAATGATGCTGATAACAGAAATCACTCACCAGCAGCAACAACAGTAGCACGAGCAGCACCAGACTTGGCACTGCCGCCACCAAGAGTCAAGATGTATCTGAGCCAGCTCAGCTGGACCTTCTTGCAGTCGCGGTCAAAGTCGGGAATCAAAGTAGCAGCCTTCTTGAAGAGCTCCTCCTTGCCATTGTAGGGCGGGTAGCGGATAGCGAGGAAGCTCTCGATCCAGCTAGGGCTAGTAGTGATTGTGCGACGGTGCACAAAGACATCGAAACTGGCTTTACCCCGGTAAGCACCCTGACCGCTCTCGCCAACACCGCCGAAGGGGAGGGTGGGGATGTGCAGGGCGGCGTCGTTGACGGCAACACCGCCGGAGCGGGTCTGTGACAGGACTGTAGCACACGTCAGTTTATCAAGTTGTACGGCAAAATATACACCTTTAGGGACGTACTCTTCTCAACTTCAGCCTTGGAGCCGAACGGGTAGAGACCCAGAGGCGTGGACTGGACGCCGTTGGCGATCTGGACAGCCTGCTCAATGCTGTCAACAGGCAGGATAGGGATGAGAGGACCAAAGCTCTCCTGTGTGATCATGGAGTCTTCAGGCGAGTCAACCACCACAACAGTAGGTTCAATGAAGCGCTCCTTTTCATCCATGCTGCCACCCATGACAATCTTGCCCTTGGTGTTGTCGATCATGCCCTTGATCCGGTGGAAAGAGGCATCGTCAATGATATGGGAGAAGTCCGCAGAGCCCTTGGCGCCCTGGGGGTAGAACTCCTTGTAGGTCTTCTTGAACTCCTCAACAACAGCATCAACAAGTGGCCTCTCGACCAACAGATAGTTCTGCGACGTGCAGAGCTGACCGGCGTTCATCAGCTTGGGCCAGAACAATCTGCGCGCGACCAGTCGGGCGTCGGCATTCTTGGAGATGATAGCCGGGTTGATGCCACCCAGCTCCAGGACAATGGGGGTGAGGTTAGGAGCCGCCGCCTTGGCGATGATGCGACCGACATTAGCACTGCCGGTGAAGAAGATCTTGTCCCAGCGTTCGGCCAACAGGGCCTGAGTCTCGGGGATAGCACCCTGAACGACAGTGTAGGCGGAGGGGTCGAGAGCAGCCTCGACAATCTGCTGGATGACCACCGCACAGTTGGAGGACTTTTCACTAGGCTTGATGACAACGGTGTTACCCGCCGCGATAGCGCCAATAACTGGACCCAGTGTCAACTGAAAAGGGTAGTTGAAAGCACTGACCCCATAACGGTCGCCGTTAGCCTTGTCTCAAACCCCAACCAAAATAAAATAGGGGGGGAGAGGAGAAAATTTGTTGAGGAATCCCACAGGAAGAAAAAACCTAAAGGATAACATACCCAATAACCAAGACGCAACCCAAGGGATCCTTGCGGATCTTGGGACTGGTAAACTTGTAGGTGAGCTCGATGTCCTCGGCCTTCTCATCCTTGACCCATTTGGGGAGATTCCGGCAAACGAAGACAATGTCGTTAAGCAGCCAGGTACTCTCGGCCATGACGGCCTCAAAGAGAGGCCGGTTCAGATCCAGTCGCAGAGCCTCATGGATCTCGTCGACACGATCCTTGATGCTATTGCATGAAGTAGATTAATTAGCCACATATTAAAAGTCATGCGGGGAGCTACCCGAAAGGTAGTCAAATAAGGTACTTTGGGACAGCTACGCACGCCCAGTAAAGCTTGCGGAGCTGGACCAGCCGGTACTCCACATCGCGAGTGGTGTGCTCATGGAAAGTCTTGCGGCAGCGAGAGACGCGGTCAGCGACCTCATCGACAGGAGTATACTCCAAAGGAGGGATTTCAATGGCACCCATGGTGAGATAATTAAGGTGGTGGAGAGAGATTGGAGGGGAGGGGAGGGGAGAAGGAATGAAGATGACAGGTGGGAAGGAATGGAACAGGAGGAGAGGAACGAAGGATCAAAAAGGGCGGAAGTTCAGCCGAGAAGAGATTAAGAAGGAAACCGAATGCGGAGCTTGCTGAGTGGACTGACAAGCCCCTGATTTATTCTCCCTTATCTACTCCTATGAATAATGGAATACGAAGAAACCACTGGAGAGTGAGTGAGTGAGAGCAAAGCAGTCCGGGGATGTTCGTCCGGCCAGATAATATAACGAGCAGCCATTCCGCCGACCGAGGCCGGGTGGATTGGTGATCAGCAAATTCACCGAGCCGTTCATTTTTTAGGGGCAAAAAAACCATCCATTCCCCATCCATTCCCATCCATTTCCAAGCATTCCTGGCACATGCCTCCTTTTTTCCCCCTCATCTGTTCCGCGGCACAGCCGAGGAAATTCCATTCCCACTCGCAAGTTCTTCTTTTTACGAACTGAGAACCGTTGTTGGCCACTGCTCACATGTCCACTAGTTAACTTAACAAATGACAGCTACGGGTTGAGTCATGCACGCGACCCACTTGCCTCGCAAGACGTTCTGTTTGCGGATAGCTTAGGAGCTTATTTACCCCTTGCTCATCAACTTAATGTCAACGGCTATCACATTGTGGTATATACGATGATAAATCATAGCTAGCTCACGGAACAACGGAGAAAATAGAAAATAAAAGCAATATGCAAATCTGCCATCAGTCAGTCACCAACTCGCTTCTTCCTCAGTGCTTGAACTGATCCTCCGTGACGCCCTTGCCCATGGCGGCCGTACTGCTGATGCCGCCCGTCACCATCTTCAACATATTATCCACGTAGTTGGCACCACTCCATTTCTGGTGAGTCACCACATCCACCCCCTGCTCCATCTCGGGCTCTTGCACCAACTCGCCGTACGCCCGCATTCCCTGCTTCGCGTACGCCTTGGCGAACTGATCCGTGATCAGCGCCGTCGTGTGCAGACCCGCCAGGGTGATGAACTGCCAGCAGTATCCCAGGGCTCCCAGGCGCTGGATGTAGGTCTCCTGCTCATCGCGCGGCATCGCCTTCTTCCAGTTGAATGAGGGCGACAAGTTGTACGCCAGCCTAAAGTGTCAGGTTAGTATCGAAGTCTCCGCTGATGCAATGCAAATCAGGACAACACTTACTTCTGCTCTGGCCACACAGCGTGAACACCGTCGGCAAACTCCTTTGCCTGGGCATAGTCGGGCAGCTTGCTCTCCATCCAGATGAGATCTGCGAATGGTCCATACGCAATGGCGCGGTTCACCGCACACTGCGTACCTCCCTGGTACCGGTAGAAGCCCTCCCGGGTGCGAGGGGCGTCCCAGTCCCAGTAGATGTCGACGCCAGTGATGTCCTTGGCAATAGCCCGGGCTTCGCGGTTGCTCTTCCCCTTGGCCTTCTTCAGGTACTCATCGATGAGGGCCTTCTTGTTACCAGAGGAGCTCTTGTTGATGGTATCGATGACAGCCTCGCTGAAGAGCTTCAGGCCAGCCTGAGCAACCCACTGGTCTTCGACGGCTTGCAGCTCGTTTCCGTTCTTGCCAGCCTGCTCTGCGGCCACCATGAGGTCGTTGAGGGGCTGCAGGTTGGGGTTTGTTGAGCCCACGACGAAGGCATGATCGCGGTAATCAATTGTGGAGGTAATGAGAGTGGCGGCTTCGGAGTCGGTTCGAGCGATGGCAAGCAGATCGGTGCCTGAATAGAGTCAGTTGATGCCGGGCATATTGAGCGAAGAAGAATGCTACATACCCATGATATCCGCTTGCGCACGGATAGCCACCAGACGGTTGATGTGTTCGCTGATAGGCACAAGCACCTTTCCGGCCATGTGGCCGCACTTCTTGGTACCCGGAGCCTGGTCTTCAATGTGAATACCAGCAGCACCACGCTCAATAAACAGCTTGGTCAGCTTCATCACGGCCGTCAAGCCACCATGTCCGGTATCGGCATCCGCAATGATGGGGCGGAGGTAGTCAACATTTGCCACCTTGCCACGCTGCTCCTTGGGAGTGGTGATGCGTTCCTCGCGCTGTTTCCGGTCATGGAACAGCTGAGCCAGGAACAACTGGTTGACCTTGTTGGGGACGGTATTCTAACTCATGTCTTAGCAGTGATCCCACAACCAACAACATCTTTTTAAGACCTACCATGGGGTAGTCAGCAAGATCGGGAGAGGGTTCGTCGGTGGACGAGGCGGTGGAGGAGCTCTGCCAGCCAGAGACGTAGACGGTGTCAAGGTATTTGGCCATTTGGGTGAGCATTGTCGGCTCCAGACAGCCATAGGTGAAGCTAGGTACTTTTTTCTAATGGAAGACCGATAAGTTTAGGAAATATGTCAACCACCACAGAGCAGGGACATGCGAACCTCAAAATTGCTCTCCAAGATCTTCCACAGCTTCTTGCTCATAGCATTGGAAGGGTATTCGATCTTCAGGGTGCCGCGCTTAGCCACAATCTGCTCAGCAGTAAAGGGGCGCTTGGTGTGTCTCCATCTGGAGTCCTGCCACCACTTCTGGACGGCCTGGACATCGTCCAGATACTTCCGGTCTTCTTCTTCAAAGGAAGCCATGATGTGTAGTATAGACGAGGGAGTATAAGCGATGATCTAATTCTTGCAAATGGATATAGTATAATACAATGTATCCAACAATGTTCGTATACAACCAAAAGAGAAAGACAGAGAGGAAGTAGAGGGGAGAGGAGAGAAGAGAGAAGAGAGAAAAGAGAAAAGGGTACAGTCAAATAAAGTCAATCACCAAATAAAACCGGAATCACAAGCCAAAGGAAACACCCAGCTACTTAAAGCATGCGCCATATCCCTCGATGCGTCACAAGTCATGACTAGACTTGGGGCCCAGCGTAGGTTGGTCGGTAAACGTTCGGTTCAGCGGGACAAGAAGGAAAGGGCGCAAGGACCAAAGGGGCCAGCCAGCTTGCCCCGGAGTATCTGAATCTCTTGCAAACAAAACCGGGGGTAAGTTAGCATGGGACGAAACAATTAGGTTGAACCAAGGGTTTCACAAGCCAGTTAGTGATCGGGGGTGGGAAAGGCAGAGGCGTACTAAGGAAGTTGGTTGCTGGTTCGGAAGAGAGGATCGAGACCTGACGAAGATCCTCGGTCTAAAGGGACCAAGCCGAAAACAGGTCGCCACTTGTTAAGCAGAACTCTCAATACATGCCATGCCAATGATTCTGTGCTTCTACAGCAATAATAACTCAATCTTTCTATTAAGCATTAGGTAAATGTTTCTCATCTCAACTTCCAGTACATAGCAACTAAACGATACTCAAACTCATCTATCACAACATTCAACAATTCAACTACTTACCTACCTTATTACCCCACGAAAACAGCCTCACATAGTAAGAAGTAAATGACGTTAATCCACTCTCAGGCAGCACGCATGTGCCTAGCACCAACTCACCTCCGACTCTACCCATTTACAATACCATACCACTCCCGTCCCCAATCCAACCCCCTGTCCCTTCACCCTGATTGGCCAGAACCCCCAGACCCTACCTCCCTCCCCCACACCACCCCGTATCCATTACCCCTCAGGCATCAATACACACGGGACTGTCCAGCCTCGGCATCCCGCCACCCAATCAGCTGGCCGCTTCATAGCCGATCCACGATCACCTCGTAGCTGTTGCTTCCGTATAGTCTTCTTCGTAAGCCACGCAAGGTCGGGAAATCAAGGAGATGTGTTCCGAGTATCTACATGTCATTTGTTTTAGAATGTATTTATTTGTGGAGGAGGTTTTCGGACGTTGACCGAATAGTTTTCATCGGGAGGTGTAAAACGAGGGGTGGTGCGTGGGTGGGTGTGGTTCGGAGATGAGGTGTTCTTGTCTACAGGGATAGTTTCTTTTTTTATATAACATGAGTATGTGTGTAGGTCTATACAAAGTACTTCGTATCATGGTAGTGCTATCTGCTATCTGCTACTGGGGTGAGTGGTTGGGGGTTTCGGAGATTCTGGGGGCTGTTGCATGGGCTTTCAGCTGGGCTGGATTTGGGGGTTTCGGGGGTGCGTGGACGTGTTGTTTAGTACTTCTAGTACGGATACTAAGCTTGGGGAAATGGATGGATTGGAATGGGATGGATGTCTGGGGAAAAGGGGAAATAATGGGTAGGTAGTCGTCCAAGATGCAGTAAGATGTACTTGTGATTCACATGTGAATTTGTCTGTGGGAGGTCATCCATCCATCCATTCATTCATTCATCTGACACTCATGACTTCTGAGTCAGACAGACCCTGGATCGATCTCCGATCGTTGCTTACTTGCTTATAGGGTAAGAGGATAAATCCTCATCATCATCATCCAAATCCGGAAGAATGCATTAACTACTACTATTTCTCGTTACTACCTAATCGTTTTATCGTGGACTTTGTGGCTAGAAAACGCAAACCCGAAGAAAGAAACAACAACATAATCATCAAATCAGTCACCCGATAAAAGACAAACGCCGCATTCAAGAAGACTCGTCACTTCTACTATGAATATGTCCACCTCGGAACAATAACAAGCTCCCATCTCTCTCTGTTGTGTCTGCAGAACCAAACAATCACAGCAGGCAATGCAACCTCTATAACCAAAAGTCAAGATAGCCCCTCATCCAACCGATTCTAAAGCTATAGAAACTGTGCCCGCATAACCCTTTTTCCCATTTTTTTGTGCAGAAAGCTGAAGTGCCACGACGGGCGAAAACAAATAGCCGCGCTAAATGCGATCATGCTCTCTCCTTTCTTCGTCTTCCCGGATTCCAATTTTAGAAGTCTTGGACAGCCACCGCCTTGTTGTACGTCTCATACGGCGTGATGGCTCCCAGGGCGCGTCGCTGATGGGCATTGAGTATTTCCAGCCCGTACACGTAGCTGGCATTGACCCATCCGAACCTAGAGAAAATTGACCGGGTTAGTGTTACGTTCGCGTAGTTGTTATTATTCATCAGGAAGGGAACAACGCTTACCCTTCGCGGGGAGCCCCCTTGAAATCCACACCTTGGTTGCCGTACTCGGCATCCACCCGGTGTGGGTCAATAGGCCGGGTGACGTCGTACTTCTCGACGACAACGCCGTTGAAATCAACAAATGCCTTGGTGATCATATACAGCCACTTGTATGCCAGGCGCTCGGCTTCCTCTTGGTAGCCATAGCGCATCAGGCCCGTCCATGCCAGCATCTGCTGGGGTGCCCATCCGTACGGGTAATCCCATTGCCGGTTAGGCCGATCCAGGCCAACGGCACCCCGAGATTCTTCGGTTCCCGAGACCAGGCCTCCGTAGGCCTCGAACCGCTTGAGGGACTGCACCAGCTGCGATGCTTGATGGGGTGTCGCGAGGCCAGCCCACATTGCCCAGTAGGTGGTGGCACTCTCGTACGTGGTGCGCTCCTGCTTGGCAGTATCATAGTCGAAATACATTCCCTTCTCTTCATCCCAGAGGTAAGTGTCCATCCGTATCTTTCTTCTGCGCGCGCGACGGTCCCAGACCGAGGATGACTCGAATTGAATATCCTGGGTCGACGCCGTCCGGAATTCCTGTGGGATCTCGAGCTTGTCCTTAAAGTAGGTGCGGATGATGCGGGCAATGTCCACCTCATACTTGTACAACAGCGAGTTAAGATCGACGGTAGCCAGGTTGGCACAGACCCTCTCCAAACGGTAGCTTGTGTCATGTCCCGACTCTCGCACGGCCCTGTCGTGCAGGAAGTACTCGTCGAGCTCTGGCTCCAGGATCTTCCGTTCGTTGTAGGCTTCAACGAATTCTTCAAAGGTCATGCCGTGCTTCTCGGCATAAGGAGTCAGAATATGAAGGAAATGGGTCGGCTCCGTCTCCGGAGGAACTCCTTCACCTTCGGGGCGATATCTGGAAAGACCAGACACCGGATCAAATCGCGGCTCGGCCGTCCAAACGCTGTAGTACTCCTTGATTGCGGCGAGCGTCGCATTTCGAAGGAATTCCATAGCATCAGGCTCGTTCTTGATCCGTTCATAGACACGTAAAGCCATATCGGTCAAGAACGGAGGCTGGGAACGCATGAGGTAATACGAGCGGTTTGCGTTCAAGATCTTCCCGTAGTGCTTGATGCAGAAACAGAAGTTGATCACCATGCCTTTAGCCAGGTCGACTCTATTGCTGACCAGCAGACCCAAGGACATCATATAGCTATCCCAGTTATAGAGCTCGTTGAATCTTCCTCCCGGAACCACGAAAGGAACTCCACTATACTCGGTCTTCCCTGTGGCTTCGTCAACCTTCTTCTCCATGGCCAATGCCAGAAGGCCGGGCTTGTCATTCAGCTTTCTGGTATATTCCGGAGTAATATTAGAGTCCAACAGCTGCACATCCAGGCGCAGCTCGGGATGCGCTTCCGCGATGCCCTTGTAGTACTCAAGCTGCTCCGGTGCACCCGGAGGGACATAGACCCGAGGCCGCGGGTCGTCTGTCCAATCCTTGGGATCGCGACCAGCTTCAGCGATGTTATGTCCATCAATACGCCGTGTCAGGGCGTTCCAGAATGAATTCTTAATGAGCCGAGAGAGCCGTGCGACCGGGTTCTCACTGAGACGGGCTTCATCAAGAACAATGTGTTTCCGACCGTAATCTTGGGCAATTGTGAGCTCCTGAAGGAGGTTGGAAAGCATGTATGTTCCTCGCAAGTCGAATCGGTTGTATCCCGAAGATGCAGCGGTTCCCACGGAGAATACCTGCAAGACAGTGCATTAGTGACTCGAAATGACCTTATTTGCTTGACATCCGACCACACATACCTTGGGGCCCACATCTTCTATCGTAATCTGCATGTTCCGATCTGTGTCTTCCCGCTCCAACAGACTGTGGAGCGTTGTGTCAACGTCAATGAGAAATTTGCGGGGAACAGCCGGCGTCTCATCTGTATACCCCGCGGGTCAGCCCACGATCTCAAGATAGTTCGGATATTTTCCTTTTCTTATACGTACCGTGACTCGCTCTTCTTGCGGGAAATCCGCCTCCGAGAAATTCTTGAATATCGTCCCGATTGAAGGATTTGAGAGTCTGTTCACAGGTGTTGGGGTCAGCAAGGCCGAATCTCAGCTTATCTTAGGGGGAGCGATGGAATCCGGACGTACCGAAGAGAATGCCCGCTTACGGTCTCTCATGCGAGCAATGTTATCCTCATCGCCATAGTAGACGTCGGGGTCGGAGAATGGATCGAGAGACGTGTTGCGTCGATGCTGAGCACTTGACGAGCTCATCGTCGGGAGATTGTGAGATTGTGGTATGGTAGATAGAAGAGACGTTCGATGACAGGCCCGGCAAACGAAAGGCTAGAGCGAAAACGGGGGATCCGAGCAGGGGTGGATGGATTTGTTGGGTTAAGGGGTGACACTGCGACACCAATTATTGAAGACGCTAAGCCCGTTCGTGGCGTTGTAACTCTTCTTGGACTCGAGACGGTACCCAAGGAAAAAGAGGTTATGCTCTTCGTACCGCAGACAATCTCGCTAAAGCTGGGGAGGATGGTAGGACAAACAGTAGGGTTCTGGGTAAGAGGGTTGAGACAATGCAAGCACACGACAAAGAGAATTTCGTGTAAGATGGATTGGCCACCAGCGGCGGTTCAGTTCCCGTGCGATTTTGGGGGGGTACGTCACAACACCCGGTCTTCGGTTTGGCTGGTTCCTTTTGAAGGTTTTGGTTTGTGTGCAATTCGGCGGTGTGTAACTCTCAATATATACTGGTTGAGATGAAAAGCATGAGAGAGAAAAAAAGGAGAAATAGTCTCAGGGTGTTGAATTTGTACTCTTCGCTAACCAGGGGATTTTTCGATTATCTATTATGATTATAATTGTTATTCTTGCCCGGATTGAGCGGCAGCACCCAACGGCATCCCATTGATCTAGAGAATGAAGTTCCCTTGGAGACTATGACGCCACGGGCCCGATGATGTCGCCGCTCCACTCAATAATTCCCCCCTTCGGTATTTCCCCGGCTGCCTCCCGCCGACTTGTGCTGCACTGAATGGACTCTGGAGATAAGTTGTTGGCCAATTCCGTAAAACAAACAAAAAGAAGCGTGAAAAAAAAAAAAAGGGAAGGAAAAAGGAGTAATCCGGAAAAAGCAAATCCTACCAGATAACGAGTGGTCACGAGGACCAAACCAATAAAGCAAAAATGAAGGAGGTCTGTGGGTCTCCGCGGCATCTGTTGGTCGAGCTCTTGACGTGGCACTCGATAGATATATCTCTAGTATGGAGCACGCAGCAACAATGAGAGTGGGATGATCTTTCAGAGTCTATGTACATTCTAGATCTTCGTCGGTGTGGGACACCCTGTACACTCCCAAGACTCATTAACCTTTCACCTCCCCCAGCAAAGCAAGAAAGCCTGAAGAGAGTCGCGCCCAAACCCAAAGACAAAGTTTTCCTGCTATCTGGTATGGGCTTTCTTCATCTTCATGTATCTGCTGTCCGTCGGATCCATACTGCGGATGCGTGGCAGGGAGATACTTGGTCGAGTCTCAACTTTGTCATCCTCCACAAGTCGGTTGTTGGGGATGAGGATCGCGCGGTCGAGCTGATATGGCAGTCCACGGTGCCGTCCACGAATCATCATGGCACAGATGACTATCTTGCTGAAGATATCGAACTGAGCACTGAATGAGGTGGAGGCGGTCGGGTATCCTAGACTTAGGCCGACGTTTCCGCTGTGCATACGTTAGGTACATCTACGCGCAGTAACAATGGCGTGGCTATACTCACTAGGCTGAGACGACTTCGAAAAATATCGCGAACACGGAGAATGCCTGTTGTCCAAGTCAGAGCAATGCTCCCTACGGTGAACAAGGGTCACAAACCGGCTTCGTGGGGTCCATTATTTTCCCCGACTCTGCAATGCAGATGCACATGATTCCAAGGAAAATGTACCACAAATCGAAGCTGAGTTGGTTTCGCATGTGCATTAGAACGTATCTCTTGCCATCAGCTTCGTCCATATCGGTTTCTGATGAAAAGACTCCAATCGATCTTTCTTCATAGATGTTGGAAGCTCGTACACTGATAGCGATAGGGAACACCGAAATGTACATCATGACGAGCAAGCTGAATTGAACTGCCGGGTTTACGTCGGCAAGATTGAATGATGCTGTCCCTGTGTGCCGTGAGGATGCTGACTGAAAAATAGCTGCCGCCACACGAGGCCCGGGGGCCAGATCGTTGACCGCAGGATTGTCGAGATCAAGAACCAGGATCAAGAGAACATCAACAAAATTCAACACAAAGATAATTCCGAAAAGAATCCATGTTGGCTTGCTGCGGAAGAGGAGCAAGTAGCACCGACGAGGGTACTTCAACAGGAACTCGAGTGGCTCCTTAAGAGAAGAGCTTTCAGGGGTACACTTGGACATAGCCCAGATAATAAGACGGAGGCAGCAAGGATACAGAGTGTTCCCAGCATAAGCAAGAAAACTCATGACTAGCATAGGGAACACGGCATCGTTGAATGATATCATGGAATCCGGAGTAAGGGTAAGTCCCAGATTGCTGGTCATCGTCTGAGCCGAATAGATCGCCCTATATATATCAGAACATATAGGTTGTTTTTAGGCCTTTCCTTGCCAGAACGTACCACCAAACTTCATTTTGACCGCATTCGTGGAGGTAGTCCCTATACTTACGATTTGAATGCAATATCCAAGGGACAAGACACACCACACCAAAAACATGAAGCCCAACAAAGTAACCTTTCAATGACAGATGAGCTTTTACTGGTCGCAGAGAAGGGAACGGCGAAGCTGTTTGTACGCACCTATTACGATTTTTAGGAGTAGCCTTAAGCTCCGGTACTCAATGCCGCCCAATCGCTCTCGGTCTGCAGCAGTCAGATTGTGGAACTGCGAATTCCTTCCAAGTGTTGCTTGTATGGAAAGCTCAGGGAGATTTGCGTCTTTGGAGAGAGATATGGCCGGTCGAAGAGATGGCTCTCGAGCCCTGCTAGGTTGTTTCCCAATCACGAACAGAGAAGATGCTACCCGCTCGAATGGTAAACCACCGGTGGCGCTTCTACCATTTTCAGAGAGCTCATCTGTATTTTCAGAGTTTCTCCGCTCTGTTTCGGCGTCCTCATCGTCCTCCTCGATGACTTCCTGGTGTCAGACTAATTTGATTGCAACAGAGCTAGTAGCCAGGCTTACCGTCCTCACCCGGTCCTCGTTGGACTTCTGCTATCGGCACCCCTATTGCCTATAAGCTATTGTCTGGCCGTCAAAAGGGCCATGAAGTCAAAGTACCTCTGTCGCGTTCTCGCGGTGAAGGAATGTAGAGCGCCTTGGTAGTGTCCGCAAAGGAGATACTCCGCGATATACCAGCAGCGTGTGAATCCGAGCTGTTGTTTTCAGGTCGTACATTGCCAGTGCTTCTTGGCCTATATCACGATTAGCAATGCTATTCACAGGAGCTACAAGTATAGGGCCACATTCTCACCTCTCTGGTACCACATGCCCGATTCTCGAGCCGACCAAGCGCTGGCCATCATCGACTTCCTTCTTCTCTGTTGAGTCAACTGGTCCGTTTTCTGACGTAGAAGGCTCACTCAGCGCCCGAGGATGCGCTTCAGGGTCGTAGCGTGCAGCATTGGAGCTCGATGGATTGCTTTTTCGATCAAGGACACCAGGTGCTGTTAGAAAACATTGTATCAGCGAAAGTTCGAACATCACGCAACCTAGCACATGAAACTAGCTACCGATCTCTTTGAGCCGTTTCTCAAACCAGAGCAAGCGGACAACTACCACCAGAATATTGATAAATCCAAGGTTCGAGACGATTGGGACAAAGTAGATGAAGAGTTGCTGGTAAAGCTTCATGTCCTTAACATCGACTCTAAAAATAATATCCACGTCAGACCTTGCTCCTAAAAGCCGAAAACAAGTAAAATGATAAAGTAAACGATCGACTAACGTGTTGAGCCCTGACTCGGTCGAAGAGCTTACGCCGAAGAAGTATGCATCGATGGCGCGGAGATTGCCATAGGGATAGAGGACAACCAATCCCAGAAGACCCAGAAAAAGAATATATGCATCTGTCCCAGTATATGAGTTACTTTTGCCACCAATACCGTAATGATAGGCAACGCACAATGTAGAGTGATGAAATTAGCCTGCAGCTTCCACATACTGCGGCACAGCAGGTATGCTCATAGATCGGAGACGAAACGATTCCGGCGGGTTGGGAAACAAGCCAATCATGAGAATCGAAAGCAATGATTGTAGAGACGAACCTAGAAAAGATTAGTTTACCCAGATCCAGCAGCAATCTCTGACTCTTTACCGGGACTAGGATCTTGGGAGAGCCCGTTGTGAGATCTTTATTCTGTGCCAATAGAGCCCCGCGCTGGTATGATGAGCGATTTGTCCGGACCAATACGCTTCCAGAAAATCACAACCCCACGCGATCGGTCAGCAGAGCTTAGATGAAGGCTGTATAGATGCACCTTTGCGATATAGGAGGGAATTTTCTAAGCCAACGGTTCTAGTTCGCACTAGAAAAGGTGGCTGACGGCGAGCGAAGATCGCCGCAGCAACCTTCGGCGTGGAAGATGCAAAACACCTGGTTGCTTTTTCGAGGTGCGCTGACTGGAGTAGACAAGAAGAGTAGATAATATTGGGATTGTCAGAAGGCAAGGTAGGCAAACGCTAATCATTCGCAATACTTGGAAGGTTTGTTGAGGAAGTGAATCCCTTCAGCCATGCTCCTTCCAATGATGATAGTTATCCGCTCAGCATGACATCCTCCTTTGTCATATGCCACCCCTAGAATGATGTCAAGCTCGTTGTTCAGCCTCCAGTCGTATTGCCTTCTTCATGGTAGGGGAGACAAGATGGGTGGCTTGAACTCAGTTTGAACAATTTCATTGCATGACTTGGGCACGGACTGCCAGGTCTACCTCGGTTCAGAAAGTTTAATGGGAACAAATAACTGGTTAGGTTGGACCTTCTGCATGTAGGCTTAGATCAAATCTACATTGCATACACATACTTCCATTTACCCCAAATATCCATTCCATCTTGCTTACAGCTTACAATTCAGAGCTTCGCTGTGATTGCGCTACCACCATCCAGGGTGATTGTCGCGCCATTCACATACGAGCCGGCGCGGCTGCTCAAGAACAAGCACGCTCCTGCAACATCCTCGGGGGTACCAATACGACCCAAAGGAATACTTCCCTCGATTGTCTCCCGATGTGCTTCCAATGTGGCAGCCATCATCTTGCTCTCAAATGGGCCACAGGCCAGAGAGTTTGATCTGCGGGTAGTGCCGGGTCAGCCCAAGCGCCGGGGATAAGCGACCATATGGGGGTTACACGTACGTGATGTTCCGTCTTCCAAGGTGGTGTGCCAAAACACGACTCAAATGGTGCAATCCAGCTTTACTGGCACTGTATGCAAAGGTTTCCAGAGCTGGAACCCTTATGCCATCGATGCTACCGATGTTGATAATGCGAGCCGGGTCGCCAGATGAACCGGCCTTCTCCAGTAGAGGGGTGAGAAGCTTGGTGAGGTCGAATACCCGATGAAGATTGAGAGTGAGAACTCGTGTCCAAGCAGACGAAGGGTATTCATCGTACGGGGCACCCCAATTGGACCCAGAGTTGTTGACAAGAACATGCAGCTCTGTGGAATGTGTTAATCTAGTGCACTATGCGCCCACCCTCCTCTAAGGAGCAACACTCCAGGGGCTGGACTTACTGCTCTCGCGCTTAGCAATCTCTTCGGCCAATCTTTTGACTTCCTCCTCTTGGTAGAAATTGGCAGGGATAGCATAAGCCTTGCCCGTGCCAAGTGCATTGAGCTCGTTTACAGCTTTATCGCAAGACTTGGCATCTCGCGACGAGATATACACAGTGGCGCCGTTCTTTACGAAGCCTTCTGAGATCATCCGACCGATTCCTTTGGCGCCACCAGTGACCAGCACGACTTTGCCCTAAGCGCATGGTTAGATCTTCAGCTCAGCTGTACAGTCCGAGCCCTCTACTCTGCATCTCCGCAGTACGTACCTTGACGTTGAACAACTGCTGAACGTCCATGGTGATGGTCTGTGTGATAGAGATTGTATTTGGAAGCTAGAGGAGATCAAAGTAGTCAGTTAATAACTGGACAACCGATTGCAAGAAATTCAGTCAGCCGCGCGTGTGAGGTCTGGACAGAGACGCTGATCTACCCCTTATAGATGTACTACCTTACCGCCTAGGTCCGCCCGGGGATGATGGGGATACCCGAACTACCGGGGGTCACTCAACGGTGACACAAAAGATACCGAGGCTGAGCGGAACGGAAGAACGATGATGCAGCATTTCTGGAGTGATTAGTAGTTGCTTGCATGGCATGTCAGTGGCAAAGGCCAGCAGGACTTCGATCAGTAGAGTGCACGGTGCGCAGTAAACATATGGCTGGTGGATACACATGGCTCAGCTTTCATTGTTGCCGATATCTTATCTCCTCTAGACGGTCGTTCAATTTGGCCGAAAAGTCCTGAGACCAGATCTTGATGCCTTAGGTATCAACAACAGAAGCGCCGATCGGGTGATCCAGAAAAAGTCACGAAAGGCTTTGGCGGGGCTGAGCTTCATCCCACCCATGTGCATGTTCAGCATTGAATTGAACTTCCTACCTTGTCACGATACCCTTGTTTATATTCTTGCATAGCTTACCTTCGCGTTCGTCCATCATTTCAATTCTCGACATCCTTCTAGAATCATTTATAGAGTTTCAGTTGGACTAGCGCATCCCACATTTCCCAGGATGGAGGAGCTACAAGCTAAACACCGCAAGGAACAGAAAGATCTACAGGCTCGAATCACTCAGAAGAAGAAGTCTGCCACGAAGAAGACTCGCAAAGGAATCAACGATGATTGCGAGAGGCTCCAGAGAGAGCTCTCTGAGCGGCAACAAGCCGAGATCGCGCAATTAAATGGCGAATCGGACCAGCCTGTGGATGGCATCGAAGACCTCAGTTTGAACGAATCCAGTGAAGGGGACCGAAACGTTGATGAGGCTGGTGACTCACCGGATCAGCAAAATGCAGATAGCCCATCTGAGACAACACCATCGTCGCCCCAGAGCTCTACCCCCGCAACCCCGCAACCCTCCGGCCCCCGTCCTAAGAAGCCCAATCGCCAGAAGGCACGTTTAGCACGTCGTGCAGCGGAACAAGCAGCGCAGTCAGCAATTGCTGCGGAGGAGGCCGCAAACCAAACCGATCATCGTGGGAATGAGAAAGAGGTCATGGAGGGCGTGTTCAAGCGCTTACAGTTGAAGGAGGTTGACATAAACCCGGATGGTCACTGTCTGTTCTCTGCCATCGCATGCCAGTTGGACGAGCAAGGCATTGGTCTGAAACCTGACCCGAAGAGAATGATCCTCCAGCCTCCCACTCAATCCCGCATTGATACCGTGGCTTCGCCCAAACATGACGGGTATCGGGCGGTTAGAGCTGTGGCGGCGGACTTCATTAGCGACCACAAGGACGACTTTGCACCATTCATGGAGGAGCCTTTGGACCAATATACCAGGAAGGTCAAGCTGACAGCCGAATGGGGCGGACAACTTGAATTGCAAGCGATCGCCAGGGCATATGGCGTTGAGATCAATGTCATCCAAGGCGATGGGAGAATCGAAAAGATTGAACCGGGCGAGGTCGATGAACCAGGCGACGAAGAGGGAAGCAAGCGGGTCATCTGGTTGGCTTACTACAGACACACATACGGGCTTGGGGAGCATTACAACGCACTCTCCAAACATACATAGAGAAGCGTATAAAACAAAAACGTCAATCAAAGATTAGGCTATTGACCAATCAAGACAGTGACTCCCATCCCGGCGATACTTTATCTACCGTGGATATGGCCTCACCGGCGGCGCCAGATCGATACCCGATCTTGAACCTCCCCATTGGCATCCTTGCCCACCTCATGCGTCCGGGCAGGCTGCCAATAAGCCACTCGTTCCAGTCCTCGATCACTTGGCTCTCTGAGAGGGTCTCCCCTGCATCGGCCCTGGGCATCATAGGAGACCTGCTCTCCCGGGTGGCTGAGATGCTCCATGTAAGCCTCCGAGGAGAGACCAAACGGAGGGCCCGGGAGCGACGGGTCCTTGTGCCTTGGGTACTCCAAGCAGATCAAGTTCCCATGTGGCGAAGGAGCTAATAGTTGAGTATGCCGGAGCGCCCAGTCAGGTCGCATGGACGGGCTCAGGGCGCAAAAGAACTGCACTCGAAATCAGTAATCATTTCATCTAGAACCACCCGTAAACCTCCGGCGACATCATAAAACTCACCGTATAATCATAAATTAAATCAAAGCAATTCAACCCCAACCCCAACTCCTCCAACCAATCATCCTTGAAGAAATCCCCCTGCACAAAAATCACCTTTCCCCTACCAACCTCCTCATCCCTAACGGGATACTTAGCACTGGTAGTACTCTCCTTCTCCTCCTGCCTACACGCCTGGACCGCCGCACCACTATACTCTAATCCATACGCATCGTACCCGAAACTCGCCAACAGAAGCACATCCACCCCTCTCCCGCAGCCCGGGACTAGCGCTTTCTTCCGGTACCTGTTCCCCTCTGCGTCCGTGGCGAGGGCATTGCCAATTGTACCTCGCCGCTGCATCAAGGTATCTTCTAATGCTGGGTTCGGGGCGCCTTTATCCCAGGGAGGACTGGGGTTCGCGTTCCAGATCTCGGCCCAGCCGTCGACGTATTTCTCGCCGGGGTATTTGGCGAGCGTGTTGTGGACGGATTGTTGGGCTGCTGTGAGGGTGGATTGGTCGGTCATGGTGGATTGATGGTTTGGAGAGCTGGATACTAGCTACGTATGGAGGTAGGTACTTTGGTAGTAGGAGGTAAGTAGTAGATAGGTGAAGTTGGATGTTGTCAATTCTGGTTGGGTTCGTATTCTGGAACTGTCTATGAGGTTGGCTCTGGCTCGGACGTGGGGCAAGCGACTGAGCCGGCGGGTCGTGCTGGAGCGTATCCACTGGGCTGGATGGAGGGTTTTGTTGTCCATAGCTGTTGCTTGGAGTTAGATTTGGATACTGCAGATGTACTATCAATATGGATGGCTACGCTCCTTGTACTGTTCAAGCTGCTCGAGTAACATCATTGCTGCTTGGGGGTTTCCCGGAACAGGGGGTTAACCTAGATCCCATAGTAGTGCCCTTTGACTTGTCCACTTTGTCATCAGAAAAGACGGTTGATAAAGCAATAGTCAGAGCCACGCGAGACTGAAGGGAGTAAGCCATATCTGACTGCAAGGGAGAATGTTCCGAAAGCGATGCGCTGGAATGCTGTCACGGGGTGTTTTTCTTCTCCCGGACATGACAATCAATACCAAATGGAGGACCCTGGGAGCCTCAACGAGCAATTCTGCTCAATCATATCTTCTAATTACCATTTATACTCTCGAGTGTTAGAAGTTGAGCGCCTGTGATATCGTGTACCATGTGCATTCGGAGGTTTAGAGTGTTTCCCTTCCCGTTCCTCGTGCTATGAATCCCCACCACTGAGCGGGACATTAACGTCCGGCTATCTAGCGAGGCTTGACCTCGGCAAAGCACCAATTAGTGCCAAATCAGGGGCGGAAATGACCGCCATCGGATGAGACGGCACCAGTTGGCTGGATTCTGACTGGCTGGCCCTGAATTTGGCTTTGCCCCCTATAGTATGGAGGGAGGGTTAGATGCTGCTTGATTCATGGGCTTAACACACTGACGGAGTACCTGGTCATTAATTATGGAGTAAACTACACAAATGTCAGATAGTATTTTGCAACCAAAAGGGTTTGACTGCGGTATGCATACTGGCGCGCTGCGTGTGTAGCGGTGTGCTACATGCTGCTTGTCAGTTTCAGCTTGATGATATTCTCTGGATTCTCAGGATATTGAATCTCGACTGGAAAAACATTCGTATCTTCGGGATCTTTGTAGTGAAGAGATAAGAAACCCGGATAACTAATCTGCACTGCAGGGTCTATATTCTTTGTAAGCAGGATCGATCTATCAAGGAATCCTGAATTGTTGAGATCCAATGGCAGGTGCAACCAGAAGCAAGTGGGGAAGGCACATACAGTTTCCTGCCCGATTAGGAGGAACCGACCCCTGCTGATACGAACTAACTCACGAGCAAAGACGCAATCCAATCTTCCTCCTCCTCTTTCTTACTCCAATTTCATCTTCTCCAACTATCTTATCTGGACCGACCAGCTCGTCTTCCACTCTCTCTCACCACTACTCACTTCTATACTTACGACTTATTGACAGTATATGATGATCGCCAACTCTTATACCTCGTCATAACAATTTGTCACTGGCCCGCCCGGCACGGTCATTTAGCGCATGCTACTTTCACTTCATCGCATGTATGATAGTCTAGTCTGTCGCGACTCTTTGGTGTGTTCCTTGTGAGAAGCCCTATCGTGCTGCTTGAGCTGTTAGCTCCTCATATGGGAACGTCGTACGGGGAGGAAGATGGCGACAACAACAAAGGGCATTCCTGAGGCCGACTTGGTGCAGACTTCCCCTACTGGTCATACTCACCCTGAAGCCCTACGATCTAATGACGAGATGACCGACGAGAAGCGCGATCCTGACTCCATATCTCAAGGCTCCGACGACTCTCCCGTGATAGAAGGGAAAGACGAGGAATCACATGTTCGCACTACGTTTTCAGATGAAGAGCCAGAGGGTCCTATAGTGGTACCAAGATTGAAACGAAGGGGACTTTTTGGTCAGCTCTCGTTGCTGGCCGAAGTTGAGAACCCCAAGGTATATCCGCGGAAGACGAAATGGTTTATCACGTTCGTGGTAGCAGTGGCTGGAGCTGCAGCTCCAATGGGTAGCTCCATCTTCTTTCGTAAGTCGTCCGTGTCATCCAGTCGTGGGCCGATTTGGTCGTATTCTTACGTCAATGCTAGCCTCTCTCTCCCAAGTATCGAAGGAACTGGGAACATCAACAACTATAACAAATTTATCAATCTCCCTATACATGCTTAGTATGTCCATCTTCCCACTGTGGTGGTCGTCTTTCAGCGAAAGACTGGGGCGACGAACAATATACCTCATTTCCTTCAGTCTCTTTGTCGTTTTCAACTCTCTCTGCGCTATCTCCAGTTCAATAGCTATGCTCATTGTGCTGCGAATGTTGAGTGGTGGTGCATCTGCATCAGTTCAGGCTGTCGGTGCAGGGACCATTGCGGATCTTTGGGACCCTCAAGAAAGAGGACGTGCTATGAATATCTTCTATCTCGGTCCACTATGTGGGCCTCTGATAGCCCCGATTGTAGGAGGTGCTTTAGCTGAACGCTGGGGATGGCGAAGTACGCTTTGGTTTCTGGCCGCCTATGGAGGGCTCACCGTGGTTTTCATCTTCTTCGCCCTCCCAGAAACACTGGCAAACACGAAAATTCAGACACGGGAGACGAATAACGAGCACGAGGAAACGATTAGACGTCAAGTGAGTCGAGTATCCTCTCGACAGGTCGTTCAATTCACCACTAGGTGGTTAAGAGTCCTCAAGATGGTGTTGCTCGACCCTTTGAAGATCATTCTTTACCTGCGCTATCCTCCGGTTCTACTAACTGTATACTACGCAAGTATCACTTTTGGATCTCTTTATGTGCTAAACGTCAGTGTTGAGCATACGTTCAGTGCTAGCCCATATAACTTCAGCACGATTATTGTTGGTCTACTATATATACCCAACTCGCTCGGATATGTTGTTGCTAGCACCTTCGGAGGCCGTTGGATGGATAGCATTATGCAGCGGGAGGCAAAAAAAGCCAAACGATACGACGAGCATGGAAAATTGATCTATCGTCCTGAAGACCGGATGCGTGAGAATGCCTGGCTTGGCGCCATGCTCTACCCTGCTGGACTGATTTGGTATGGATGGTGCGCAGATCGAGGTGTATTCTGGCTAGCACCGGTATGTTCTTAGACGTCTGACAGGAAGGGTGTCACACACCTGATGATGCTTATCCTCTCTGCTTCATGCAATTCATGGCATCCTACTGACAAAGTTTGTGTAGATGATTGCCAATTTCTTCTTTGGCGTTGGATCAATGCTCATTTTCGGCATGGCAACGACTATGCTGACAGAGTTCATGCCCAAGAAGTCCTCTGCAGGTGTCGCACTGAATAACTTCATGCGAAATATCTTCTCCTGCGTGGGCTCAGTAGTCACCGCCCCCATCATCGATGCCATTGGCAATGGATGGCTTTTCACCATCCTTGGACTGGTTGCGTTTGCAAGCAGCTCCGTCCTCTTTGTGATGAAAGTTTACGGGCCACGGTGGAGGAAATCGATGGATGCTCTGAGAACATGACGTCCTTCATGACCATTCTCGGTCATTGGCACGCTACGTTGGGTGCCAAATGCTGATACTTGGGTCTAGAGCCTGTTGGTGACTGTCGTGTTTTGTCATGATCATACTAGACGGTTGCATATAGCATTGCCTTGGCTTCCTGTTTCGGGAAATTTTGCCGGCTTTCTCTTTTCTCGAACGGTTGAGGCTGGTGATCTTAGGAGTCAAGTCCGCGTCAATATGACAGGTGTGGATGGCCTAGCATTCTCCAGCGGACGTTTACGGCTTGAGGATACCCAAAAGCATGATTGTTTATTTTTAGACTTGATGAAGCCCAAGCGAGGCCAGATGCCTGCTGCTAGGCTGTGGCGAACAACAGTCATCGCCTGAGTCAATTGACGATAGAAGGCAGAGGTCGAGGTCAATAGAATAGCCAAGTCAATAATTGATTGGACGAATTTGGGGGTCGTGTCAGTTCTGAACCTCTGCATTGTTTTAACATAGGTCCCAGTGTCAATGTCACTGCCAGCGGTGGTTACCCAAGCATCTTGCAGACCAAGGCGAGTGTAGCTGATTCTGATAGCTCTCACGCTATCAGTGATCCTATGCCCGGCATTTGACTCGGTGATTGGCAGCCAGAATTTTGACAGCGCAGGCTGACCTGGTAAGCGCTCAAGCACAAAGTACGCGTATGATTTAGACGGCAATTCATCTGAGGGGGCCACTGGTAGGGGATTTGCGGATGGAAGGGACTAGCAATTCGCACCTCCGGGACGAAGCGGAAACATGCATAAGCGGTACCACAAGATGGATGGATTAAACATCAAAGCTTATGGCCAGGGATGGTGGTGAAATCCAGCGGGGAGGCAGCCATTTCCGGCCCGTTGCATGTTCCAGCGTGGGATGACACCGAAAGTAGCGACTAGGGTTTGGCTGGTGGTCAGCAAATGGGTTGCCGGGGACCAGAGAAAAGCCCTCATGATGGCAAAATTGTTGAACTCGCATAGAGAGCATGTCATTCTGTCGGACCTGGCATCTGCAATTGTGTGACCATCATCATCCATTTGGGCGCCCGCCCGCTACGTAGTCTATACAACTGGATACCTTACTACGTACCTAGGTCGGATCAGCGCCATAATCGGCGATCTCGACCTGAACCTGACAGATTCGCTGTGCTGGCAATAGAAAGATCTAGTAGTCAATGACACGCACAGAAACGATCTCGGGTATCTGGCTGAGTATCTGAGATGATGGGTAAGGCAGTTGCGATGGCAATAGATAGATTGGGAGACGCGGAGGGTGGTTGACGTGGAGGGTGTTTGTGCCAGAGGAAGAAGGCATTGGTGCTGGCTGATTGGGATTGGGGTCTGTATAGACCCGAGCGGGGAGCCCGTCAGAACACAACACTGTTATGCGAGCTGCAATGCTGGGCAGCTTGCCTGATGGGCAGGTAGCCAAGAGAAAAATTAAGAGGGCTTCGGAGGAATGGGGTTAGTTAGCATCCCGATTAGTGTGCTCCGTAGCTTGCAGCCACTCCATTCATCTCATCACTAATGACGCCGCCTTCAACGGGCCTGGATGGGGGGGCGTGCAGTGGTAGCCACTCACCGGCTGCCAGAACAGCAATGCGCCTCACTTATCGGTGGATGCGACGAGTCCGGCTTCTTTCTGCCCACCGCCCATGATCTGGGCCCCCCTTCGGAATTATTGATCCCTCGATTGTACTCGGAAGCAATTGCGATGCGGATTGTTGGGATGCCAGCTCCCCCCATCGTGGATCGGGAAAATAAGAGCATCTGGATTGGAGACACGATGGAGGGTTTTTGCCTCCCTCTTCATGGTGCCTGAGAGGAATTGACCTCTGGTTGTATCATGAATAATGAAGGCACTGGAAAATGATTCAAACTGAAACCCGATCGAAGCCATCCCACTATTCCTGGTTGGGCGGTCCAGTGATCTGCGGCTGCTGAATTGTCCGGTGGAGTTTCGAATCCGGCTTCAGTTTCCCTCCCTCTCGTTCCCTTTTCCCCTTTCCTCGCTGTTTCGCCAGGCGTTTGTTTCTCCATTGACTCTTCTGGCTTGCTTCGTTTTTGCTTCGACAGTTCTTCATCAGTACCAGAAGTACGGAATAACCAGTTTTCTGGAGATCTTCGTCGCCCCCTCTTGATCAGCTTTCCCTTCCCCCCCCCTGTCATCTTCGGTGATGGGGAGTGATGCTGTCGTCGATGATTGATCGCCTTTACCCACCGAACGGTGCACAGTCACAACAGTAATCCTTACCCATGGCCATAACATTCACACCCTAGTTACACCCAACCACCCCTAGCTTTGTCTTCCCTGGCCAGGGACCCAGTCTCGCTACTCACGGACCATGCGTCTAATTTACTACTATTGCTGCAACAGCCGTTGGGCATGAATGATTATGATACTGGTGATCCGGCTATGGTGATGAGGTACACTCTACAGGTCGGAGTAACCATGGGCAGCGCCCTTTTCACTTTCGATGGCTTTTTTTACGCCTTTCATTGCCTCAGATGCTGGCATGATTGGCTGTATTAGAATGTTCAATCATTGGGCCTAAGATCAATCATTTGACCTTGCATTCTCAAGGCGCAGGTCTCTATCGACCATCCATTGCTTTTTCTCCCACTGGGTTTACGACCCCGTACGAAGTACTTGCAGGGCATTGGCTAACAACGATACTTTTGAACTATCTATGCAATACTTCTGCCCGCAAGAGGCCAAATAGACAAAAAGAAAATTGACGCCAGATGGAGAAAAAAAAATTAATTACGGAAGCACCTCTGATAGACCTGTGGCACCACCCCCACCACACTAATGACACACCCTACGGAGCACCCAATTCCCTGTGGTGTAGCTATCCTATCTGGACCACAATTGCCCATCCACTCCCCGCCGCCACCTGCTTGCTAGTTGCGACTGCATGCTTCTGCTGCAGATGGTGCTCCGCCGGTTATTCCCTTGCCCCAGTGATGCTTCCGGAAGAAGACCCTCTTTCTATGTCCGTCCGGGAGGGCCATGGGGCCCGTGAGACGTGGCCCAATGATACGAGATGCCGTCGGGCAGTTCGTTCATGACGTCCCCAGCCCCAAGCCCGAGCCATTCCTGGACAGTGACCCATTGCACTGGATAGCGAATGCACTACCATACGTCGCCTCGTCTTCGTCCTCAAAAAAGGAACCACAATGTTGTTGGCGGACCATCGGGCCTATGCCCTTTCTGCCCTTTGCGCTTCCAACCTCTCATACCCCAGCGTTTGCTTAACCCAGCAATTACACAGCACCCCTCGTTTCGCGTTCCTTTTTCTTGCGTTGCCCCTATTTTTGGGTTTTCTTCATTCGCCTTCCCCCCTGTCTTCTGCGCCTTGTCTAGAATTCGACAGGCATATGTCATATTCCCTTCAATAGATTTATATCCGCTTGTCACTCCCGTTCCACAAAGAGGTCATCAGAGACCCAAGAAACGCCACTGATCCGATGCCATGGGTAAAAAAAATAACAACAAGAAAAAGAAGAACAACAACAACAATAATAATAAGCAAAGGCTCCCCGTAAACGACAATCAACTCTCCAAAGAGCAAACCCCTTCTCTTGACCCTACCCCGGAGGCACCGGTTGATGTCGGAGAGAATGGAGCAACGCCCGGTCCAGTATGCACAACTTCCCAAGTTTGAGTACCAGACTTTCGAGCGTCACTATCAGACCTTCGACCGTCAAACCTTTAGCTTTTCATATTACCCTGTCAATACTGCATCTACGGATCATCTGACGCCGCCTAAGGATCAGGACAATAACAACAACCCCGTCGAACCAGATACTGCCCCGGCCGCCGAGACTACCCCTACAGAAGGATCCGATTAGTGCCCCTGCTGATGGCTCAACGTCCCCCGAGTCTGAAGGTATGTCGTACCTGCCTTTTGATACTACACCCTTCTGGCCTGCAACAGTTGCTATTATGTCCTCTCACGTGGATGTTTATCATGCTTGACTTCCTTGTACTAAACCTCATCAGGTGCCACCGAAGCAACAACGCCACCACCAGAGGTTGAAGAAACCTCCAACGATACAACTACTGAAGCAAAAGAGGAAGGCGAAAGTCCCGCCCCAGAAGCAGAGGAGTCCACTCCACCGCCGGAAGATAGTCCTCCCAGTGATCCACCTGCTGAGGATGCGCCAAAGGACATAGAAGCGGACCAAGCCCAAGCAGACGATGCACCGACGAATGTAGATGATACATCCCCCGAGGAGAACAATGAAGCCCCTGACAATGGTACGCCTAACATTGATATCAGTTCCCAAAGTCAGCTGACCTTACACAGAGGATAACTTCCCAGGTTGTGATCCTTCTGCAGAACATGACAATGTCGACGCCGACAACAAAGAAGCCGAGAATCAAGCAGCTGAGGACGCTAATGTCGAAGATGAAGCGCCAGCGGATGCAACCACGGCCGACTTGATCGACGTTGATATCGACAAGGACGCGGAGAATGCAACAGAACAGCCACCTGCAGAAAGTCAAGAAGAGGGCGAAGCTGCGCCCCCGAGCAATGACGATGCCCCCGAAGCCGACGGCGTTGGCGGGGACGATGGTGGCGATGCATCGCCTGAAGAACCGGCTGCGGACTCGAAGGAAGAGGCTCAAGAGCAGGAGACCGAAGCACAACCTGAGCCTGCGCCAGAATCCACGGAAACCCCTGTCGCCCCGGAAGGGCCGGAGGATCAAAATCCAGAGGAACAACCTAATCCTGACACCAGCGAAACCGTGGATGAAGCACCAACAGACGAAGGGACGCCAGAGCCTACAGAAGATTTAGCGGCGGACAAAGCCGACGTCGAACCTGAAGCAGAGCCAGCGACTGCAACTGAAGAGGCACCGGAAGAATCGGCTGCTGCTACCGAAGAGTCACCTGAAGAGGCCGCACAGCCTGAAACAACTAATGAGGCCTCAACAGAAGTTGAACCCGGCGACAAGCCCTCCGAAGAGGCCCCCGAACCACCTACCGCTGACGGAGAGTCTGCTGAGACACCTGCTGAGACGCCCGCCGAGACACCTGTTGAGGAAGCCGCTGTTGTGGAAGAACCTGCCGGAGAGGATGTTACAGAACAACCTCCGGCTGAAGAGCCCACCGCGGATGACACAGCAGATGTACCGGTTGAAGAAACTACAGAGTCAGCGGAACCCGCAGCAGAACCTCCAGCGGAAGAGGCAGAAACTGAGGAGGTATCTCCCGAGGAAGCCACAAATTCAGAGTCAGTCGAAGGTCCCACCGATGAGACTCCAGCGACGGCGGACACCACCCCGGAAGCAGCAAGCTCGGATGAACCAACAGATTCTCAAGAGCCATCTGACGAAAAGCCGACCGAGGAAGTAGTTGCAGAGGAGCCTCCCGCGGAGGCTGCGGCAGAGGAAGCCCCGGCCACAGAGGCCGCAATCGAAGCGACCCCCAAGGAAGACGCCGACGCGGTACCGGAACCAGAAGAGCCTCCTGCAGACACCGCCACTGAGGAGGCGCCAGCTGAGGAGCTAGTTCATGTTGAAGAATCCGAGCAAGTAACAGAAGAGGCAGCTCCTGAAGAGGCCCCGTCGACTGAGGAAGTACCAGTAGAAGAGGGTGTCCGTGAAGTTCCTGAAGAAGCTCTTGCCGAAGAGCCAGCCACTGAAGCGGCGCCCGAAGAGCCCGCTCCTGCAGAAGAACATATCGCTGAAGAACCTGCAGCCGAAGAGCCCCCAGCCCCCGATGAGACACCTCCTGAACCTGCGCCTGAAGAGACTGCTCCAGCTGAAGAGCCTGCTCCAGTAGAGGAGGCTGCTGCTGAAGAAGAGGTTGCTGAAGAGCCTATCGTCGACGAGCCTGCTGCTCCTGAAGAGCCCGCGATTGAGGAACCTGCTGCTGTCGACGAACCTGAAGCCGAGGCTGCCGTTGAAGAGTCAGTACCAGCCGAGGATCCTGCACCTGTCGAAGAAGCTGTTGAGGTACCCACCATTGAGGAACCTGTCGCCGCTGAAGAGCCTACCGCGGCTGAGGAACCCGTCGCCGACGAGCCTGTCACTGAAGAGCCCGCTGCTGAAGAGCCAACCCCTACCGAGGGGCCCGCTCCGGTTGAAGAGCCCGCTCCGGTTGAAGAGCCCGC